AAAATCATACACAAAGGCACAGATTGTGAGACATATACCCCATCTCTCATACACTTATAAACCAAGCAACAAGGATAGAGAGTCTCAGTCTACCTTATCAGGGATTTGAGGAAAAGGGGTTTCACTCTGAAGAATTTTTTCCCTGTGACAGGAAACTGTAATACTTCCTTATTTGAGGACTAAGACAATAAGGCAATTTCAAATAAATGGTTCCTAACTACTGCTATTCAAGTAGAGCTGTGTATTTTTTTTTTAAAGATTTTATTTATTTATTTGACAGAGAGAGATCACAGTAGACAGAGAGGCAGGCAGAGGGCGGGGGGGAAGCAGGCTCCCTGTTGAGCAGAGAACCTGATGCGGAACTCGATCCCAGGACCCTGAGATCATGACCTGAGCCGAAGGCAGCGGCTTAACCCACTGAGCCACCCAGGCGCCCCGAGCTGTATATTTTTTTTTAATTGAATTGTCTCCCACAATTTTTGCCTAATCACAGAAGTTAAGAATTCAGCTGAGAAAAACTCCTGTGAACTGAAATTTGAACAATAAAACTAGGATTTTATTATTTCTCATAAAGTCATTTCACATATGTTAAGCAGTGCCTGGTCAAAGGAAAACTACTATACATTTATTATTTGAAAAAATTTTTGAAACTTGCAAAATTCTCATTTCAAAATAGAGAAAAAAATGCAATTTTTGCAGAGTGAATGGGGACCACACTCATTCCATAAAAGAAGGATTTCCTGTAAAAACAGAAATTGGCAATTTAGTCTAAGAAAATACAGTGAAAGCTGGGAAGAAACTTGAGGATGCTTAAATTTCCACTGTGGAACAACTTCTGCTGCCCAGTGGGAAGGAAAAAACAACAACAACAACAACAAAAAGCCACCTGCCACAAGATGAGAGAAGACGACAAGCTAGGACTGTACTCCTGGAGAAGGAAAAATGAAGCAGGTCCCTAGTCTGTGAACCAGGGGTGCTGATGGGAAAGGAATATATGTCCCAAGAAGAATACCAAGGCAAACTCTGCAGTCACCTGTCATAACATATCAGAGAAAGACAAGAAAGCAGTATTTGTGGAAGAGATGAGAACAGTACATGGTGGACACTGGTGATTTTAGAGCACCTTTTAACTAGAGGAAATATTAGTGAGGTGCTGAAAGTTGCTGCCACCAACTGGGCATCAGGCATACTTGGGGTTACAAATCACTTTCACTTCATAAACTGTGCATTTCCATCAAAATGGTAAACAGGTCTTACTGTAGTCAAGGAGGTTAGTTTTGAAGCTGGTAATATTTTAACTAGCAAAAATAGAAATTTTAAGCAATAAATGGAAAAACTTTATACACAACTGCTTTTCCTGATGATTTATACAGCAGCGCATGGTTAAAAGACTTATTCATGTGAGACTATATTAGCAATAAGCAGAAAATGCCTTTTAAATGCTGTTCAAATCCAAAATCAGAATTGGTACTTGGTTTAAAATCTATGGGAAAACCTTTTATGCAGAGATTCTACTTTTATTAATTTGTGCCACGTATAAATTTGCACATCTACACAAATAGGTGTGCAGAATTGGGGAAGAGGGAAAAAAATTAATATAATCAAGAGAGCCATCATTAGGGAACAATTTTAGCCATGTTATGGGATTCTGTACACCAAGAGGATGCACAAGGTACATCCATTTGAATTAACAGGTGGATGCACAAAAGGTATACGGAAGTGAGCAAGGTTTAGAACAGTATGTACAATAAATTTGCACATCTACACAAATAGGTGTGCAGAATTGGGGAAGAGGGAAAAAAATTAATATAATCAAGAGAGCCATCATTAGGGAACAATTTTAGCCATGTTATGGGATTCTGTACACCAAGAGGATGCACAAGGTACATCCATTTGAATTAACAGGTGGATGCACAAAAGGTATACGGAAGTGAGCAAGGTTTAGAACAGTATGTACAATA